GGGGAAAGAATCCCAAAGGTGGTCAGGGAGATCCCCGAGGGATCCCACTCCAGCTCCTCCTCAGTCTCCACTACGTAAGGAATGAGTGTCGGCCTGGTAGACCGCGGTCTCGGGCGGCACAGCAGCAGGGGCCTCAGGGGGCAAAGCAGAAGCAGGGGCTACGGGCGCCGTAGCCGCAGCAGGGGACTGGGCTGGGAATTCAGGCACTGGAGTCACGGGGAGCACTGGAGTCACGGGGAGCACTGGAGTCTGGATGGGCGGCGCAGGAGCAGGGGATGGCACGTGGACCTCGGACGTGCGGCCAGCAGGGGGCGCCATGGCTGGCACCTCAGGCGTGACGGCGACACCAGCTGCAGCAGGGGACACAGGCGCCTCTGAGGGTGCCGCAGGAGAAACCACCGGGACTGGAGCTGCAGGCACGGGAGTCACTGGGGGCGCGGTAGCAGCAGCAGGCGGTGCCGCAGGCACGTCCGGAGCAGGTAGGTCCGCGAGCGTGTGGCCAGCAGGGGGTGCCTTGGCTGGCACCTCGGGTGCGCGGCCAGCAGGGGGCGCCTCGGCTGGCACCTTGGGCGCGCGGCCAGCAGGGGGCGCCTCGGCAGGCGGAGCTGCAGGTACAGGAGTCACTGGGGAAGCAGTTGCAGACTCCGGAACCATGGGAAGTGCCACCCGCTTCCGAAACCGCGGAACCTGTGGTATAGTGTCCCAAATAGACCTGGCCCCTTTAAGGGCCAGGCGAGTCTTGGAGAAGGGGCGCGCTGCTACTGAGGGCAGCGAAGCGGCGGGCGGTTGCTGGGAGGCTAGGGTGACGTGATATCCGGAGCAAAACCCGCCGGGTTTAGAGTCGGGAGCGGGTCCTCCCGACACGCAGCAGGGCAGGACGCGGAGAGCAAAACAGCCCCCAAGAAGACCTCCATAGCGTCTTCCTTTTTTCGGCTCCTCCGCTTCTTCTTCCTGCTTCTTGTAGCAGGTTGCGAACCCTGGGACATCTCAGGAAGTGGGGACAAGGGACCAAAAGGCATGCCGCAATCCATCGCTACTTGCCTCATGTTGGTCTCTGCTACCCCACGTCTCAGCTGTCGCAGGTCCTCACGTACCTCGTCTGCGAGGTGCGTGTCTTTTGGTAGGGATAGCTCTTCGAGGGTATTCCTTGCCCGGATAGCAAGGGCTTGCAGCACAGGGTCCTCCCTTACCTCTGGTCGCTCAAGCCAATGCAGGGTTTCATTAACTACACCGAGGTACTGCTCCTCGGTCAAAGTTGGCGTCTTGTTTGCGAGTTCTGTCATTCTGTCATCGCACGTAAAACACGGACCAGGGAAACAGGCGGACGAAAGCAGGAATGAGGTTAAATAAAAGGATTTAATCGGAGAACGAAGGGGCATAACAGGGAAAACAACAACACGGAACTAAACAATTATAACTATTGAGGGGTTAATCATATCATAATTTACTTACTAATTCTAATAATATGTCTAACATAATGTAGACAGCAGATTTGGGAACCGATACTAGCCCGGTAGGATGGGGTGCTCTCACCCCACCAAGTTTGGAGAAATTGGGAACTGACGGTACGCCAGCAGGTCAGGACGACCTGGCACGAGACACGAGGAAAACAGGAACCCACCATAGA